TTCTATCTGTCCGCATGGATGACCTTTGCTGGATGTTACTTCGTCTTTCTGATCCTCTCATGGCATCTAATCAACAGTCTCCAGAGGAACAGACTATACCTGGTTGGAGTGGGTTCAATGCCATCACACACCCCACCATTCCTGTGAAGACCAATATCGGCTATCACCCAATGATCCATGCAGAGTCTAGCAACTTTAGCACTCTTTACACCCTGATGAAACTGGCCCAAAAGATATGCGACACAATGGGACAGCACGATTCTGTAATTACCTTTGATCTTGCCCTTTACGCAAAAGCTAAGCAGCTACAAATGAAATACCCAGAGGTATTTAAAAACACTGTGATCAGAATGGGGGGTTCCCACATTGCCCTTAACTTTCTCTCTCTGCTTGGAAAGAAGTATGCACAGTCAGGCTTGGAAGACTTACTGATTGAGTCAGGGGTTTATGCAGCTGGTACTACCTCAGTTTTGATGCTTGGTAAGTCATATAACAGAGGTATTCGTGCCCACAAGTTAACCATGGAGGCGCTCTTCCGGTTGTTGTGGAAAGCCTTCCTAGACTGGCTGTCAAGACAAGCAGTTGGTATGGATGACCGAGTCAGACAAAGTGTTGCTGACCAAAGCAGGGAGTGTCGGAATACAGTGAGACAGGGTTGCTTCGTTAACGATGCCTGGAAAGCATTTCAAGGTTGTGTTAATCCTCTCATGACACTGTTTGAGCGGTTCAAATCTGAAGGCAGAGAAAAGTCCAAAGTTTTTAGTTTCTGGGAAGGATACATTAATATGGTGCTGCTGCTTCTGCAGTTCGTTAAAGCTGAACGAACCGGTAACTGGGAACTCCACCTCTCCGCCACAACAGAAATGGTTCCCCATTTTTTCTCTATGAACAGGGTCAACTATTCCAGATGGCTTCCAGTCTATCTCTCTGACATGCACATGTTGCAGTTAACTCACCCCGCAGTTCACCAAGAGTTCATTGCTGGAAACCACAGTGTAAGCCGCTCTAACCAACCGTTTGCGCAAGTTTGGCCGGATATGGCCCTGGAACAATCAATTAACCTTGATACCAAGACAAAGGGGGGCATAGTTGGAATGAGTACGAACGAAGATGCTGTAGACCGATGGTTCTTAACCATTCACGAGCGAGCAGCCATGACACATGCACTAAAGGAGATGTGTGGTCTAGAAAACTGCGACCGCATTGGGACACACAAGGAGGCTGAAGCCACAAGAGTGAGCAGAGATGAGAGAGACGTACAGAAGTTGTTTGAAACCTTCAAGAGTGGTCTCCTCAGTGACCCTTTTCAGATTCCAGAAGAAATCTCAGAGGAGGAAATACCCTTAACCTTAAGTAATCTTGCCACTGGTGTTGTTCTTCCAGGCGCAGATGGAAGCATTCTTCTCAACGCAGAAGAGTTAGGCAGAAAAAGCATGGAAACCTTTCTTTCATCGCGAATCCAGAGAAATGAAATAAATTTCTGGGATCCAATCCAGCGGCTGAAGATTAAAACATTCAGTTCTGTGGCAAAGAAAGTTGCAGTGAGCAAACAGAAAGATAAAACTGTAACTGTTAATGCTGATCGTGAGCTTTTTGGTCGCCTCCTGGTTGCTGCGAGGAACAGGGATACATACATACATACATACATACATACTTTATTTATTCCAGAAGCAGATGATAACTATTATATACAAATAAAACTAAAAAGAAAATACTTCTAGAAAAGGAAGTTAAGAGGTTATCCCTGTGTAAAAACTCCCTTAAAAGAAAAGACAAAATATAAATCAAAATCATTACAATCAAATATTTAAGTACGATTTAAGTTTAGATTTAAAATGCTGAAAGCTGTCAGCTTCCACTATATCACCCGGTAACTCGTTCCATAATTTGACAATCCTAATAAAAAAAGAATTTTTGTAACAATTAAGTCTAGCTGGTTTAATATAGAGTTTGTATTGATGATTTGCTCTCGTAGACCGAATCGTGGCAATATCAAAGAAGTCTTCAAAATTTAAATGATAAAAACCAAAAACTATCTTATAACATTCGACTAAAGATAAGTAAGTTCTACGGTCAGAGAGAGTGGGCCATTTTAACAGTTTGCATCGGTCTTCATAGGACATTTCTCCTTTGCGTTGATTTAAAGCGAGTCTTGAGGCTCTTCGCTGTACATTTTCAAGGGCATGGATGTCCTTAACAAGGTAAGGACACCAAACAGGTACCGCATATTCCAAGATTGGCCGTACCAGAGACATGTACAGCATAGAAAAAACATTTGTGTTAGCGGTGCCTACTGAGCGTTTAATGGAACCTAAAACTTTGTTCGCTTTATTGACAGTGATACTTATGTGATGGCCCCATGAAAGATCTCTAGTTAGTGTGACACCGAGATCTTTAAAATTAGTCACATCTTTCAGGGGCTTTTCTAAGAAATAATTAGTTACCGACTTATCGCGTAAATGCGTGATTCGCATAGATTCGCATTTGTCTGCGTTGAAACGTAGCTGCCACTTACGAGCCCATGCGCTAAGATTATTAAGATCATCCTGAAGAAGCTGACTATCTTTTATAGGGTCAATTATCTCTCTGTAGATCTTCGTGTCGTCTGCATATAGTTTTACTGTAGATGATAGGAATTCAGATATGTCATTAATATACAATAAAAACAATAGGGGCCCGAGAATGGTTCCCTGTGGAGTTCCGGAGGTAACGCACGACCAATCAGAATAAGATCCCCTAACGACTACACGTTGTTTGCGCCCCACCAAAAAATGTCTCAGCCAGTTGAGTAAACATTCGTCGATGCCGCTACATTTCAATTTTAAAAGCAGTCGCTCATGAGGAACGCTGTCAAAGGCTTTGGCAAGATCCAGAAAAACAACATCGGTAGGAGTGGATGAATTACGGGATTTCGCCCAGTCATTAAACGTTGATAACATTTGAGTTGTAGTAGATCTTCCTCGTAAAAAGCCAAATTGGTTGCTATTGATAAAGTCGATTTCGCGCCAGAACTTAATCATCCTATCAAAAACAATTTTTTCACAGATCTTACAAGCAATTGAAGTAAGGGAAATTGGGCGGTAATTTTCTCTCGAAGATTTGGAACCCTTCTTATGTAGAGGAGTAATGTCGGCATGTTTCCATTCCTCAGGCAAAAGGCCAAGAGACAACGATTTGTTTATCATATACGTTAACGAAGGTGCTAATTCCGAAGCACACGACTTAAAAATGCACGGCGCGATATGGTCAGGCCCAGGAGACTTGTTGGGCTTGAGTTTCAGAAGATGGCGTTTGACCTCATTGACAGAACAATCAATTTTCGCAAGTTTCTTGTCAACACTGCAGTCTTGAGTGGGAAAATTTGCATAATCTTCGGTAGTAAACACCGAAGAGAAATATGAGTTCATACTCTGAGCAATACTGAAGTCGTCAGTCAGAGCACATCCATCGACGCTTATAGAGATGAGATTATTAGTGCCTCTTCTCTTGGACTTAACAAAATTCCAGAAAGGTTTCGGGTTTTCATTTTCCTGTAGATCAAGTGCAAGTTTCTTTATATACGACCATCTAGCTGTGTTACAAAGTCTCTTAACAGAATTGTTGAGTTGCCGATATTTTTCCCAAATAGTTGAATTGTTTTTTCTGCGAGCTCTATTATACAATAATTTCTTCTTTTTGCACAAAACAATAAGTTCCTGTGTAATCCAGGGGGCACTGGATCTCTTTTTATTCTTGCGTTTGGGAATGCACTCATCCACTGCTGTAAATAACAAGTCTTTCCAGCAAGCCCAATTATGATTAATATCGCTGTCGAAGAAGGCGCAATGCCATGGAATATAAGATAACAGCGATCTTAAGTGATCCCAGTCGGCTTTACCATAGCAATACAACAACTTCTGTGATTTACGCTGGACGTAAGGTATACCAGATAACGAGAAGGAGATAGAATTGTGATCTGAAAAGGGTTCTCCAACAACCAAATGGTTTACGAGGTCGGGCGAAGTAGTGAGAACTAAGTCTAGGATGTTCGAGTCTCTGGTAGGTTCATTTATCAACTGTGTCAAAAAATTGTCTTGGACGATGTCCATCATGAGTGTGTAAATATCAGATTGACGCAAGAATCTGTTATTCAACCAATCAATCTCCGGAAGATTGAAATCGCCAACAAGAATCAACTCGTTCGTCGAAAACTCTTGCAAAACAGCTTGTAAGTCCTCTAAAGGCTTAGGATCGTTATTGGGAGGACGATAGAAAACTCCCAAAGTGACTTTGCGATTGTATGAGAAAAGAAGATCGACGAAGATGAACTCTGAATCGTTCTGTGTAGTATCACGGGGAACCGCTTTGATGTGTTCTCGCGTAGCAATCAATACCCCGCCTCCATGACGTCCATTGAGCTTTCGGTCCCGCCTAAATACCGAGTAGTTACTAGGAAAGATTTCACCGTCAGGGATGGAGCTGTCCAGATGAGTTTCAGTTAAAACAATTATATCATAGCCCAGAGCGGCAATGGCTAAATCCAATTTGCTTGATTTGTTGACGATGCTTCGTGCATTAGCATAAAAGGTTAGAAGACGAGAGGACTTTTGCTGTTCCGTAAAATTGTGCCGCTCGGCTCCATTTGGACCAGGATTTGGGTTTACGTCGCCGCTCAACTGGAGAAGAATAGTTTGGTAACTTGCAACAGAGTTAGGATAATAACTGATTCTTGACGAAGAAAAACCTCTTCGAAGGATTGGCAAAACAATATGTCGCCTAGTCCAGGACGCTGTGAAGATATTTAAGTTCATTGAAACTACAAAATCATCTTGTAGAACCAAGAAGAAATCGTCAGCTAAACGCGGGAACATTTGAGATTGGCCCTGATCAGTCGTTTTTCCGCGATATAGAAGAATTAAACTGAGAATAAAACAAAGAAAACCGGAGAGTCGAAATGAGTGACCGTCAGCCATGACGCCTCGCCTCCTCCCACTCCACTGAGATGCCATTGGGATATTGATCTCAAAGAGGTTCTTTCTTATGAGCTTTGCAGTGTACCAGTCGCACTTGTACATCCTGATGGCAGCCTCAGGAAGACGACAAAAAGCACCCTAATGCATGTACTTGAAAACAATGTTACGTGTAGATCAAGCCTGCCTTCATCACAGCACCCTACAGCATGTCTAATTGATGCGATGGCTCTTATTCAGATGGTTAAATCAGCAAGGTCTGCGACATTTAGCCAGTTATCGCAGAAATACCAAGACATTGTCACTAGTAAATTTCATCAGAACAGTCACACCAGAGTAGACCTAATTTTCGACCAATATAGGCCTGTCTCAATTAAGGCAGGGGAACGCAGCAAGAGAGGAGAATCAGGCTCGTTTGAAATTAACATCCACAGTGGATCCACGCCAGTACCGAAGCAGTGGTCAAAATATATCTCAAACCCAAAGAACAAACAAAACTTAGCCGCCTTTCTCTGGGAGTCGTTAACAAAGAACTTACCGGCATATTTAGGCCCTCGGCAGAAGGTCGTCCTAGGAGGAGGATTCAAGGATGGATTAAAAGCAGTGTGTCTAACTAGTGGTTCCGCAGTTGTTGAGCCAAATCTACGTTCAGATCATGAAGAGGCAGATACAAGACTTCTGCTTCATGCCAAACACGCTGCAGCCACTCATCCACGCATTGTGATACAATCACCAGACACTGATGTTGCCGTACTTTCAGTAGCACATTTTTCAGATTTAAACTGCCAGGAACTGTGGTTAAAAACAGGCGTCAAAGACAGACTGAGATACCTACCTGTCCATGAGATTCAGGCTTCCCTGGGGGAATCTCTTTGTAGATGTCTTCCATCGTTCCATGCACTGACTGGTTGCGACTCTACGAGTGCCTTCTCTGGAATAGGGAAGAAGAAGGCGTGGAAGGTACTGCTGACGAAAGAACAGATGCAACGTGATCTCTGTACTCTAGGACAGAATCCTGCCATACACGAGCCTGCGCAGAAGGCTGCTGAGTCTTTTATCTGCTCCCTTTACACTTCTGCGAAGAACTTTTCAAATGTAGACGACGCTAGATATTTTCTTTTTTGTCAACGAAATTTGAAAAGTGAAGACCTGCCACCGACTTCAGAATGCTTGTCTCATCATATCAAGAGGGCTAACTTCCAAGCCTTTGTTTGGAATAGAGCTTTGGTTCCACTTCAGAACATTCCCTCGCCAGATGAACATGGATGGAAGCTGGAAAATGGCAAGCTATTCCCTGTTCTGATGACAAGGAGTCCTGCCCCAGAAGGCATGACGGAGCTAACAACATGCCGCTGCACAACTTCAGAATGTAAACGTAGTTGTTCCTGTAGGAAAAGTAACCTCCCTTGTACGGAGGCCTGTTTATGTATGGCAGATGAAGGATGCTGCAATCCTCTGAATGAAGAGTTGTTGTCTGACAATGATTCTAGTGCCTCTGACACTGAGTGACAGTTGTTGTTTTTTATGTCAGTCTGCAAATTACATGTACTTATCAGATCATTACCTCTCCCGATACAGATCCGAACAACGGGCCGATAAATTAAGGTTTTGACTGATGTTTTACAATTCCGATTCAACGATTCTTTAGTATGCGACAAAGATTGGTAAAGATAGCAAATTTCTTAGGGGGTAATTTTCAAGACCTAAGTGTTTGTAAGACAGATTATCATCAGTGGTTGTAGTTTACACGTAACGAAATTAAAACATGTTGCAAACTGGTATCTTTTTGACTTACAAAATGACACCACTTAAAAATACCTACTGCTTTCACATTGTGAAGAGCTGTTGCCAGTACCTTTCACTCGCAGTCGTCTCCCTTTGAATTTCAAAGAATGACTGACGGCAAGAAGCTTCCATACCTATTGTTCCACATGTGGTCGTTAGCTCAATAAACAGAATCCAGTCTCTGTACAGCAGAATATTAGTAAATCCACGTTTTTTAATTTTTGTCATAAATTAACTGAAATAAACATAAAATGTTGGCAGATATGCATAGAAACAATTTTTATAGGCTATCATAGAAATGCCAGCATTCGAATGCTTTCATATTTTCACAGCATCTTTCATTTTTTCAAAGATTTTCACCTGTTTTGAGGTTACTTTTATTCCAGCCTCGTTTCCATGTAAACATTGATGGAGGAGAGACCAGCACTAATATTGTCGATTTTCTGGAGTTCTACGCTTCCAAATATATTTTTTTAAATGTAATTCAAAAGTGTACGATCTCTTTGTTTCCTGATATGATAAAAGGCCTGAATACGTCCTTTACCCTAGTCTCAGCAGGATATGAAATATGTCCGGATCGACAAAGGAGGCCGCTTTTTGTCGGAAAAATAGTCATGTGACAATCACGTGACATGCTGTCGTACCATGTGAACACTTATATTGTAGGCAGGTACATGCTCATCATTTTTCTAGTAGGGTTTGGGGCACTTTAGTGGAAGAAGATGAAATTTGAGGTCAATTTCTGTTTGAGCCTCGTCTCCATGTTGTGTGCCGTGTCATTGTATAAAACCCCATTTATCTCGTCAGGGGTACCACAATTCGGGACTACATAGTATCTTATCTTAAAAAGCAGGTATTGGTCTATCAGAATCAGCTGTCAAACCTTTTCTGTCGGATGGGTTGAACCAACTCCTTAAATAAGGCTTTTTCAGAAAATAGCTCCTTGACTATAAGAGCTCCCCGCGACGCTCTAAGATCAATCTTTTTTTTTTTCCAGCGAATTTTTTAACTCGCGTGACGGACTTCGCCAAAAGGGAGGGAGCTCTGTATTCCAATGTAACGAAAGCTTCAAAATCCTAAAGTTCATTCCAGATTCCTGAATGTTGTCTCTTAAGGCCAGGATGCTAATGCTCCGAGGCTTTTGTTGACAGTGAGAATACAGTGTGTCGATTAAAGCAAGATAGTTTCTGCTGCAAGTAGGGAAAAAAGTCAAATTTTAAGAAAGGCATATCATGGGAAAAAAAGAAAGGCTCAAGACTGATAACCAGAGGACAAACAAACAAAAAGGGCGGGCAACATCACAGAGAACTAACCGTAAACACACCACTTAGGTCGGTTTTGGTCTAAGATGATGTTAGGGACGAACTGATTCCATAACCAACAGTGTTGGCTTTCCACGAAAAGTTTACACTTGTGTAGTTCATGCCACTTCTTTGTATGGAATTGTATTGGATGACTTGGGCAAAGCGAAAATACATTGCCTGGTATCAATGGAAAGTTTCTGAGAAGTTACATGCATGCCCGTGCAACATGTGCCTCAGGTAAGCACGTTGAAACTTTCTCACAACATTATAATAAGAAAGCTAACCCCTTGAAATTTAAATGAGAAAATGACAGGTCATTTCCTTTAATTTACTGTGCAGGTGAATTGGAAGTATCGAAGAGCACAGTGATTGGAATCAAATCGTGCCAACTGTAAATTACAAGGATAGAATGTAGCAGACAAAATACAAGTAATCACATGCTTAGAAGAGTGTGTAGTGTAAATTACAAGGACAGAATGTAGCAGACAAAATCCAAGTAATCACATGCGTAGAATAGTGCGTAGTGTTAAACGAACTCGACAAGAATTTCTGACTACGATGTAAACAGCGACCAATGTTCCATACAAAATCAGTTAAAATGAATCGCGTGCTGTCAGCTTAGTAGTGAATCGTATGATGTCAACCGTATGCCGGTTCGAACTGAAATACAAGACGAAAATAGAAGCTAAACATAACTAACGTATCGAAGTTAAAATAATACAAATGAAGGAACTATCGCTAACATTGCAATAACGACCGTAACATGGAAGTGTGAAATATAATCGGCACTCATAATGATCGTAAGGAAGGCTGGAAGACGATTAATAAGCTACGCGGTGTTTAACTCAGACGATACCCCTATATTAAATAACCTTATATTGAAGATATGGACCTAATCAAGCACGAGTCCGAGCATAAAAAAACCAACCGATTTAGTAACGATACAGGCCATTCGATAGGTGATAAAGGGAGACTTAACCGAAACGAATAACAATAGAAAAAGCCCGAGAACTAAGCCTGAAAACAAGGAATCGGTTACTTAATTGGTTTGCACACGCACTGAATTTGACTCGATCGAATAGATGAGTACCAGTGTAGAGAGAAACTATGAGTAGAAGGTGATGCAGTAGAATCTACACTTGAACTGAACAAAGCGGGTAAAACCTCGTAAATATATCTATTCAAAGAACATGCAAGCTATACCTAGTGGTAATGACTATTTCCTAACAGAAATAGCAGCTGACTGGGCTGGTCAACCATGGCAGATTAAATAAGTAAGGCCTTGTTTGAAAGTGACAATTACTTGATAATATGTACGGTATAGTAAGTTCCTGGGATATGAACTGAATGAACATCATGTTACAAAACTAACACCAACCAATGCCTTATGGGACTGATCATCTAAGCTTGGAATGCCAACAAACCTACCGGAATATTATTTACAAAATCTGTGGCTTGTTCCCTTTGAATAATGAGAGTTAGACCATGGAGCAGTGTGAAAAAAGGTTTGAGATTTTTTTATGAATCGTAAATGTACAGGAAAATAGACACTCATATCTTGACTACTGTTTAAAGTTTAATCTCATAAATGATCCCTTATGTTACAAATAAATTGATAAAAGTCACATGAAAATAAAATGTCTATCTAAACATTTCTGGTTGTCAATAAATTAAACAAAATACTTGTGACAATATTCATAGGTGTGAGGGGTATTACAAAGGTTCCTTCCCAAATATGGAGATTTAATGTGCCAAATGGCTGTGATGAGGAAAAATGAGTGATTGTCATTTCATCAGGCACACAAGGATGAATTCTGTTGGGAACCACAAGGCTCATAATGCAGTTTAGAGCATTTAGGATGCCTGTGACTCTTGCCACCATAATGAAAATTTACAAAAACACCAACCAAGAATGTCACCTAAAAAGATTCTCTGCGAGGGTGATAAATCTAAAGCTGGCCAGGAGCTTTTAATAGATAGAGGACCAAGAGTAAGAAAAAGGCAAAGTAGACCAAGAAAATAATTTGAATATATGCATATGTACTGGAGGAATTAGAGGAAGGAGTGCACTCAATGAGTAGTCACTGTGGTTCCTCCTCCTTAGGTTTCTTCTATAAACCTGTTCAGCCTTTGAAGCCAAACTGTTTTAGGTACCTGTACCATGTTGATGATGGCTGCATTGAATAAGGTTTTTCAAATATCCTCTTTTCTGTTAAAATGCATCAAATATGGCTGGTGATCTCCATTCTGATTCACAGATGTTTATTCAATGTCAACACCTTATGACTATTATTGATGTCACCTTCTTTAAGTAAAAGGAGAGGAGCAAAATGTTTTGTACCATGATGCCTTGAGTGTTTTATCAGTTCCTTCTGTTGACTAAAACAAGAAAGCAGGCTTGGGAGTTACCATTCTGGATCAGTGTAGGAAGCTGAGCTAAAAGCTTCTACATGAAATACCTATATCAGTCTTATGGTCAGCTGGCAGTTCATGTGCTCTCTCTCAGGTGAGAAGTACAGATCACTGTCTTTGTAAAGCGGATACAATACACTTTTTCCAATCAATTGGTAACAACCAGGGGGAAAATTTGTGAATTTATGATGTTGCGCATGCATTCTTCCTGTGATGATCTTGCTGCCTGGTAATAAAAGTTTGGTTTCTTCCCCAACAACAAGTATTGTTAAGACCATAAAAATGACTGCCACCTACATGCATCTTTAGAAGCATTCAATTTCAAAGTTTTCTCTGACTCAGTGTTGTGAACTTGGTATTGTTTGATGGGAGCTAAATTTAGCCAATGAAAATAAACTAGCTGATTTAATGACTAAGACTTATGTTGCATTTTGTTGAATTGTGTATTGCTGAGTGGTTAATAATTTGCATCTTGCCTCTAAGTCAGCTTGTGTGTCAATTCCCTTTTATCCAAACAGTAAACCAAACAACACTACCTATTGTTATATTAACAGTTTTTTGGCAGCATTGCCCTGGTAGTTATGGGGAAAAAAATCAAAGTAAAAATCATGCAAACCACTGTTTTTACCTTAAAATCTAAAATAAATCAAGTCATACATGATTCAGAGGGCATGTTTCATATTTACTACATGTAACAATTTGATATAACAAAAAGCTGCTTGTTTCATAAAAACAATAATTGTATTCCATTATTTTTTTTTTTTTTGGACAGTGAATGTTTAAGTTATTCCTGTCATGAAGGATTTGATGAAATGGAGTAAAATGACTGACAGTTTATGATTTATCAATAAGCAATCCAAGACTGGGGTAAAAATATTGCTCACAACTGATATTCAACTTTCACACATACTAACTTTAGTTAATGGCTTCATTGTAATTCAATTCAAAATAAGGTGTCCAATGCAATGAGCTGTTAGGAATAACAAACACAATGGCTGTCTTTAGTCATTGAAAATGATGGTGGAGGCTTATATTTTGTATCTCAATATCAGTCTAAATAAAATTAATTGTATTAAAGATGTTTTCACCCTAAGGAAATCCAAATAGAAACTTATTCAAATTTTGCATCAAACTTTGAGTTACTTTTTTTTTAATTTGGTTCAAATACATAATTATATCGTTTTTTTTTCTCTTTGTTAAAAGATCAGTAAAAATTTGAGTCTATTAGTTTGAGAACGAGTGCTAAGTTTGAACTTGTTATTATTTTTGTATGCTGTATGTATGTGTGTTGAGCAGGAAGTTACAATCAAACCAATATATGTTTCTCTTGATCATTTAATAGGGGTTTTTTCTTAATGAATAATATAATGATATTAATGTTAATGAGGGTGCATGGTAATTTTGTCCAACAGGTAGTAACAAAGTTCAATGAGTGATATCAGTAAACTAAAATATGCCCAGGGTATCT